TTCCAACACCCCCAGTGGATGCCTGAAAGCGCTGGTTCTGCTGAACCCTATATATACACTTTGTTTCGTCCTATATATATATATACCTCTGATGAAGCTTAATTTATAAATTGGGAACAGTAAGAGGTTAACAACAATAACTAATAATTAAGTTATTATTAGTAAAGTATTATTAAGTAAAATAAGGGTTCCTTGAATGCAAGCACTATAATACCACACAATTGATCTGATAACCGAGATGGCTACAGGCAGGAAGCACATAGTCAGAAAGGAGTGGGATGGTGTGAGATTTAAAAGTTACAAATAGCTTACTTCTGGAATTTTCTGTTTAATATTTTCAGAGTGTGGCAACCAAAACTGTGAGAAGCAAAACCGCGGATAAGGGGGGACTACTGTAAGTGTAATCATACAGTATTTGTCTTTTTGTGACTGGCTTATTTCACTTAGCATGTCCTTACGGCTTGGCTTATCTGTGTTGTAGCATGTGTCAGAATTGCCTTCCTTTTTAAGGCTTAATGGTATTCCATTGTATGTTTATACCTCATTTTGCTTATCCACTCATCTGTCGATGGACGCTTGGGTTGCATCCATGTTTTGGTTATTACTGTGAATAAGGCTGCTATAAACATGAGTGTACAAATTTCTCTCTGAGACCATGCTTTCAATTGTTTTGGATATATACCCATAAGTAGAATTGCTGGATCATATGATAATTCTATTTTTAATACTTTAAGGAACTTCCATATTGTTTTCCACAGTGGCTGGATCATCTTAAATTCCCACCACCAACACACAAGGATTCCAATTTCTCCACATCCTCACCAGCACTTATTTTCTGTTTTTCTGATAGTAATTACCCTAATGGGTGTGAGGTGGTATCTCACTGTAGTTCTGATTAGCATTTTTCTAATAATTAGTGATGCTGGGCATCATCTCATGTGCTGATTTTTAAAGTAAAAACATTGATAATATTAGCAAATCCAAAGAGTACACAAACATAGACAACAGAAGGTGGACCAGCTTCTTTCTGATTAAACAGCTTCCAGTGACATAATAGGAAATAGGGTCTATGAGCTTTTAAGGGCCAATGGAAATAATTAAGCCTTGAAAAAACTTGCTGGCTTTGAAAGAAAAAAAATTAGAAAATTAGAAATTAGTTAATATTTACTTAAATGTACTCAAAATGTAATACTAGGTCATTTAAAAAATATATTTGCTCTGATACAGAAGGGACTTCCAAAAGGAGGAGTGCTTGGAACTTTTAAAAGACTTAAAGGGCTCTGTCTTTCCCCTCAACCCCTTCCTTCTAAAGATAACAACTTTAATTTATTTCTTATGATTCTTTTCAGGAAAAAAAATAAAGCACATACATATAAGTGTTCTGGACCTGAGGGTTGTCTACTGACAGCTCTCAACTGAATGACTCCTTACAATAGCTCTTGGCCAAAGACAGTTGGTTCCCCTGAGACTGTATACTACAATGACTGGTCAATGGGAGGTTGGTGATAAAGGCCCTGCCCTTTGCATTAGTAGGGAACATCTCTGAAGAGTCATCCCAAACCCCAAGCTCCCTATGGGGTTGACTGACCCTCTACTGCAGCTGCACCGTGGTTCAACCTCTACCTTGGCTCAGTTCTGCTTCTTGGTCCTGCATTTTTTTGAAGGGCTTTTCCTGAGAGCAGTTCACAGTAAAATGCAATCTCTGCCTCAGTCTCTCTCCTGGGCATTCAACTTAGAATGCTGATCTACCTCACTCTTTTTCATGGTTGCAAAGTATTCCACTGAATGTATATATCATATTTTAGCAGTTCTTTATTGATGGATACTTTAGTTGCTTCAAGTTTTTCATATGTGCTTGGAGAACTCCCTCACCTCCTTCATTCCTTCATATATCACCTCACCAAGGCCCACCTCTTACCAGCCTCTTTAAAGGTGCACTCCTGACCTCTCTTCTCCTGCACTCCTGACCTCTCTTCTCCTGCACTCCTGACCTCTCTTCTCCTGCACTCCTGACCTCTCTTCTCCTGCACTCCTGACCTCTCTTCTCCTGCACTCCTGACCTCTCTTCTCCTGCACTCCTGACCTCTCTTCTCCTGCACTCCTGACCTCTCTTCTCCTGCACTCCTGACCTCTCTTCTCCTGCACTCCTGACCTCTCTTCTCCTGCACTCCTGACCTCTCTTCTCCTGCACTCCTGACCTCTCTTCTCCTGCACTCCTGACATCTCTTATCCTGTTCCACATTGTATTTTTTCATAGACGTACCACCTCTGGTTCTCTACATCATTTCCCTATTCATTAGGTGTGTTGTTCATTGTCTATCTCCTACTAGCATCTGAACTGTTTCTAGGGCAGGGCCTTTGTCTTGTTTGTTCACTGCTTATTCTTAAATGCCTAGAATAGAGCCTGGCACAATAGGTCTTTGCTAAGTGGATTCCATATCGAACATCTGTGTGTGTGTGTGTGTGTGTGTGTGTGTGTATTTTTTTAACAACATTTTGCAAAGGACCAACAGTGAAACTGCTGGGCTAAAAGGTATCAGCATTTAAAATTGTATAGATAGTGGTAATTGCTCTTCTCAAAGTTGCACCAACTTACAATTTTCTTTGAATTTTAGAGAAATAGAACAATACTGACTGCATTTCAGACTCTTCTATCAATGAATTCAACATATTATAAAAAGTTGTGTGTGAAGGGCAGCTGCTTAGAAAAACATAATCGATATTGCCACACTCAATTAAAGCAAACTACAGTGCAGCAGAAAGAGGAGTCAATCACCCTTCCTTGTGGAGAAATCTTTCCGCTCCGTAAGATGGTTGATGTCTACTCTATAGTCAGATGCTCACTTCCCTTTGGGTTTGAAATTGACAAGTAGTGTTACTAAACTGGTAAAGGTGGCTAGCAGGCCAACAGAAATTCATTAACCCCTGTGCCTTATTTCTAGATTATAAAGGATTATGGACAAACTCCAAGCCTTAATCCTATTTTCTTTTGTATCAATAATCCTTGAGAATTTTCACATCAGCAATGTCACCTTCAAAAATCAATCCACGTGCTATTGACAATGACTTACACAGTGAAGAGTTCTCATTCTAGTACCATTTTGACAGGTTTGCCATTCTCTGTAATAAACACTGTCATTATTTCTGACAGGGCTAGTAGAAGGGTTTCATTAAAATGTGCCAAAGGAAAAATTGTGTAACTTGGGAGAAGATGGGGAAGGGGAACAATGGTAATTTTGAAAAAGTAGATTTATACAGATCAAATATATTCCATACACACCACCCCCTTCCCCCAGCCTCAGGTACTCTTGCATAAAGTGTTTAGACTCATAAAAGTGTCAAAACCAGAATTTCAAATAAACATGTCAGCCTTTGGTGGTATCTAGAACTAGATTGCTCTATTCTACTATAGAGCTTTTACTTTGTTTACTAGTATACATTTCAGCATTGTCAATTTTCATTTTGATTACTGGTCTACCTCTCTTAGCTTAGCGATGTATTTTAGGAATAAGTCAGGTCTATAAGATGCTTGTGGGAAATAATAGCTGGTTCTTACAATAACACTATCACTTTGAAATTGCCATCACAATCCTTTATTTTATTTTCACATTTTCATACGTTTTTTACATTTCCCACTCTGACTTCTGCCTGGAAATAATAAACATTTTTATTGCATTTTATGAACTTGTCCAAAGGCAGGAGTGGAAAGCGATCAAGTCTTCTTACAATGTGATGTTACTGCAGTTGTGGAGGAACCTAATGCAAGAGTTCAGGCCTCCCCAAAAAGAACTGTGGGCTGAGAAATGTTTGATTTCATATGTGCATGAGAAGGTTGCTTTTTTTCATTTTCCATTAAACTTAGGGTCAAAGTAGTGAGATGAGACAAAATATAAAAATACAGAGTAGCAAAATGTCGATGAATTTTCTGTATTTTCCCACTTAGCACAGTGATTACAAATATCTTTCTCCTTATATAGTCACAGAATACGGAATCATCATATTATGGAAGTTGGAAGGGACCTTAGAATTCCTCAAGGTCCTTCACCCATACTTTTCCATACACAGGACCTGAGTCTCAGAGAGGTTAAGTGCATAGTGTAGCTAGTTAATGGCAATCCCTTGTGAATCACAAGTTAATAGCACTCAGGAGCTGGTCTCAGGTCTTATGACTCGTGGTACAGTGCTCACTTCAAGAGAGTACCACCTTCCAAATATTTCTGTTCTCCAATTACTCTCCTGGCAACTCTGAACAGTTCTAGCTATTGTGACTGCAGTTTTTGAACAACTGTAAGAAGTATTGGTTTCTATTTCTAGTGTTCAATTGACAGCTCTGTGTTTTGTTAAGGACTATGTGTTTTGCACTCCCTTCTGCAACTGGAATTACTCCGGGGGGAACATGAGATTTCTAAGTGGAAATCAATTGCAATTGAACATGCAGTTATTTTCTTTCTTTATTTTCCACAGGCAATTCACAAACCTTCAGGAGCTTGTCTACTGCTGTAAGTGCTCTGTTTTCCAATAAGTTTCTTTGCCCTATGATAATAAAATGTTTGCCACAAAGCCCTGGGGTTGATATTAGTCTGTACATAATCGAAGTTGTGCCTAGCTCGCCTCTCTCAATCCCAACGTAGCAGCTCAGTATAGGCCACAGTCCAGGAAGGCAGCCACAACTTTTTAAAAGTCTCTGTCCTCAGATGGTTGAGCCCTGTTCCAACCCCTGTTTCAGGCTGTGAGCCCAGCTATGATATATCTCCATCTGTGGGATACTCGTGATCCCTACTATCTTTTGGGAGTCAAACTCCCAACCACCATGCCTGTTTCCAGCCTTGGAACCCATGACTTTGGCCTCTTCTTATGTTACATGTTTTAGTTCTGTATCAGGTCCACACAGATATTTATCTAGTTTTAAAGTATATATTGCTATTATTTTAGTTACTATGACCATGTAAAGTCACAGCATGTCTTGACGAGAAGTCTCCAAAATATGCCTTAGGAACAATTTAGGGGTAGTATTCAGTTATATTTCCATTGCATTCTTTGGGGTAGTGACGACCAGTGGTGATGAACAATTTTAGCACCTGCCTTTCTAAAAATAGCTCTAAAATTTGTCCAAAAGGATTTTTAGAATGAGCATCAATATTTCAAAACTCTTATGATTTTCCTCATGCGCCCTTTGCTGTTGTTTGCCATTGCAAACAAGAGAAAAATGCCAAAATTCGCTCCCTTTTCAAAATTCCAGCATGTAGGCTAGATGTCAGAGGAAGAGGAGGAGAGACCTATGGAGCACATGAAGGCAGGAAAAGCTGTGACGAGAGAAAGAAAAAACTGCTCTGACCATTTTGAGCCCTGGCTGCTTCCAGGCTGGAGCTGCTGAGTGCATGGAGCAGGAACTGGCAAAAGCCACAGATGTGCCCTTCAGATAGAGTTGCTTGGAGGCTGCAGGGGAGAAGAGGGCCTTGGTGGCCACCAGGCCAGCAAGACTACTAATAGGGTTCCCATGGACCCACATAGGAGAGAGGAGCCACTCAGAGGCTGTTGAGTCATTGCCAGGGACCAGTGTACCGCCTTCCCCGTGGGAAGTGTTTGGAGCACAGGTGGTAGGGGAGATAGGCCCACTGGGGGATCACTGGGGCATAGCAAGGACAGCTGATCTACCCTCCCAATCAGTGATGGACCACTCAGAGGAGACTGGTCAGGAATGTAGAACTGCAGGGGGCGCAGTCGGCTGAAAAGACTTGGGCCCAGACCAGAGTTTCTGCACAACCCAGGTGTACTGGATCTCATGAGTGCTGGAAGTACCTATAAAGTCAACCATTATATTGAACTGCACCAAAAGCCTTCCCCAGGGAATCACATCAAAGCAACAATTTAGCTCAACCATACAGCTCAAGTGTTGGTCCCCACAAGAAATTCCCCCATTTTAGAAGTAAGCAAAGGACAACAAATTAGTTCCAGTGCAGAGTTTAAGTGGTGGGGGTACCTAATAATCCAAAACGGAACTGGAAGAAAACTAACTAGTAAAGGTCTCACATCACCAAAGAACACCTATAAAACCTAGAAAGACTGGAATTCCCCTGGACTATCAAGCCAGGGAGGAGAGAAGGTTGGGGGCTTCAGCCATGTCTCCAACACCCACAACCAGCCCAGCAATGACCACTGAACCGCTGCAGGAAGTGCCCTGGGCTCTCCAGAGCTGGGGTGTGGGGGGGCCAATGGCCTCAGCCATGTCCCACCCAACAGCTGCAACCAGCTCAGTGATTTACTCAGACCACTGAGTCACCACAGGAAGCGCTCCAGGCTCTCTCAAGCTGGGGTGGTTGGGGGCAGAGGGCCTTGGCCACACACACCCGATACCTGCAACCAGGCCAGCGATGACCACCAAGCTGCTGCAGGAAGTGCCCCTGGCTCTCCTGAGCTGGGGCAGTAGGGGACTGAGGGCCTTGGCCATGTCTCCCCAACACCTGCAACCAGCCCAGCAACAATCATCAAGCTGCTTCAGGAAGCATTCCAGGCTCTCCTGAGCTGGGGCAGTGGGGGGCTGAGGGCCTCAGCCATGCCCCCCTGACTCCCTCAATTAGACCAGTGATGACCACTGATCTGCTGCAGGAAGTGTCCCGGGCTCTCCTGAGCTGGGGCAGTGGGGGGCTGAGGGCCTCAGCCATGCCCCACCGACACCCTCAACCAGCCCAGCAATGACTGCTGAGCCACTGCAGGAAGTGCCTGGGCTCCAGAGCTGGGGTAGTGGGGGGGCAAGGACTTCAGCCACACCCCCCTGACACCTGCACCCAGCCCAGCAATGACCAAGCCACTGCTGGAAGCCCCCTGGTCTCCCCTGCAGGAATGCAGGGGGTACCACAGGCCTCAACCCCACCTCTCCCCCTTCCTACTTCTCCCATTCTATTTCCTTCCCCCTTCTCCTCTCCCCCTTGCCCCAACTGCTCCACAACAACATCATAGAATGTAAAAAAAATAATATTAATAAATGAATAAACTTAACTAAAATTAAATAAATAAATAAATTTTAAAAAGTTCAAACACTTTCCCAAGGAAAGAGGATGCCCACAGGTGCTTGTCTCATCCTTGTGAAGAGATTGTCCTGTTTAGAAAACAAAACAGCCTCCTCTATTTTAATTAGGTTAATTTTGTCATCAGCATTGGTGGTACCCACGGTATACCTGGCACTTACAATTAGTGATAGAGAAGATCTGTTCTCCAGATCTTCTTTAAATGTGTCACCCACAGTTCATGTGTTGGAAACTTAATCCACAATGCAACAGTGTCAAGACGTATCTTTAAGAGGTGATAGGTCATGAGGGCTCTGCCTTTCTGAATGGATTAATGTCATTATCACGGGAGTGGGTTCGTCATCATGGGAGTGGGTTTATTATCATGAGAGTGGGTTTGTCATCACCAGACTGGGTTTGTTATAAAAGCAAGATGGGTTGGCCAGAGAGGTCAACATTTATTTGTCCACTGTCTGCTTCTTGCTAGCACCCTCCTCAGAAGACGGATACCTGACAAAGATGGGATTAGGGGAATGCGATCTATCCATTCTTCCAGGCAGTCTAAGTTCTATCAAGTTAGACAACTGGCTTTAAACTGTTTGTGACCATGGTCCATTTGGGTGGAGCAAAAGACCTATAGGCCTTCCTGGCCTTCCTGGTTTTAGGAGTAACAATGAACTGGACAATTCGTGGCCCATCACAAGATCCTCATGGTCATGGACTGTTCCTTGAGAATACCTGCGTTAGATGATCTGAAAGCTATGCTACCTGAGGTTTCCCTTGTGTCTTAGTCCATTTTATACTATAACAGAACATTACAGATTGGGTAATTTATAATGTACAGAAATTTATCTGGCTCATGGTTCTAGAGGCTGGGAAGTCCAAGAGCATGGCACCAGCATCTGGTGAGGGCCTTTGTGCTGCATCACCCCCAAGGAAGAAGGAGGAAGGGCAAGACAGAGCAAGAGAGCAAGAGGGAACCCAACTCGCTTTTGTAACAAACCCGCTCTGGTGATGACAAACCCACTCTCATGATGATAAACCCACTCCCATGATGACGAACCCACTCCCGTGATAATGACATTAATCCATTCAGAAAGGCAGAGCCCTCATGACCTATCACCTCTTAAAGATACCTCTTGACACTGTTGAATTGTGGATTAAGTTTCCAACACATGAACTGTGGGTGACACATTTAAACCATAGCACCTTGTCCTTTTCCTTACCCTCTACCTTCAAGATGAAATGCCTTGGCTAAATTATCTTAGATATGTTAATGTTATACCTTCAGTTTTCACCAAAAGTAGATACAAGAAGTAACACGAAGAATATCTTCACAAACCTGCACTGATGAAGATGTTGTCTATTATACTGTCTCTTTGTACAGGAACCCATACACGAAATATCTTTAAAAATTTAATACCAAGAAAATAAATTTATTAAAATAAGTTTTATTATTCAATGAGAAATAAATAATGTACTGGCAGTCAAGAAGCTTAGAGTTAAGGTCAGTGCTCAACTACAGTGAATCTATTAGCCATGGGATATACAGAATACATAACCTTTATTCCTGCATATTTTTATCTATTTGTATTTCAATGCCCTGATGATGAAGTGCCTTTTATCGAGATACCTCAAATCCTTTTAGGAAGTAGGTGAATTGCACATTTAAAAAAATTCAAGTGGGATGATAAGCACAGAGATTTAAGCATATATTCTAAAAGCCCAAATCTTATATTTTAAGAGGCAATATAATACAGTGGTTAAAAGCTATACTTCTGGGTTTTCAAATCCCAACCCAGGCACTCCTGACTTTGGACAAGGTCTGAGTCCCTCATAATTCAGTTTCCTTATCCATAAAATGGAGAAAATAAGAGTACCTTCTTATAGGGTAATTTTGAAGAATAAACATACTGATATATATGAAGCACTTAGAATAGTGAACATTAAAAATGGTTTGCTTTTATTATGTCACGGGCTAATATTAAACTCTATCAGTATATGGTATAATCGAAATGTCATATCCTATTAAGCTTCTGAACTTTACCTCCTATTCAAATGCAACATATAATGCTTACCTACTGTGACAGATGCTGATGAGAGCAGAGATTTTCCCCAGGAGCCCCATCCAGCCCATCCTCCTCCACGTGGAGGGGAATCCACAGCCTGTAGAAAAACAGATTAGCCACAAGGTCAGCAATTCAGTTTATCCCTGAATGGAAAAACACCCACTTGTTTGAAACCACAACAAAAAAAGATGAAAAAAAAAAAATCATCAACAACCATATCTCACTGGCTTATAGTTTATAAGGGCCATAAAAGAACATCCTAACCCACACTGCAATGTGTTCTTTGAAACCGAATTGATTAGTGGTGGTGCTGGCTTCTGAGGGCTGGGTTTGAAGTGAGAAGGCAGTTTGATGTTAACTGAACCTCAATTCTCCTATTATCTGGGAGTCAAGGGACAAGGGTTGTGTGGGAAAAAAGATGTTAACACATTAGAGCACAGAGTGATTTGAAAAAGTTCAGAACAACCTTGACCCAGACAATTCTTACAGAGCTAAACAAATGTGCTCTTCAAGGTAGAATTAACTTTCAAACCTGCGGGAGCGGTGGGCAGGAGCGGTGGTGTGGATGAGGGGCATAGTGTCTCAAAAAGCATCCATAAGCCTGGAGACGGGCAGCAGCAACAGCAAGCCTTGTGAGGTAGACACTTTTTGATGTGAGGTGTCTGCTCCACTCTCAATGACCCTGGTAACTACATCTCTCACCACAGGGTTAAGACTGCTCCTTGCCTCAAGGGATTCAAATGACTTCATCTAGGTTTTTGGGATCAGGACTGAGAGATTGTGGCTCAGCGTGAGCTGACTGCTTGAATAGAAGATGGAAACACAGGCTGTGTGGGGTGGCCATATTCTACCCACATGCAGACTAAAAATTAAGAGAAAGCAGAGCAGATCAAAGGAGACAATGCTGAGAGGAACTGTCTGGGTTCCTGACAGCTTGTCAGCCCTGATGATTCCTATTTTTGGGTTCTATGAGATTCCCTCATATTCTTGCTTACTCTTTTCTAAAAAATGTTTTGTTCGCTGACATATCCCAGAGCCTAGAAGAGTGCCTGGAATATAATGAGTGCTTAATAAACATTTGTTCGATAAATAACTGAAATTCATCCATTTTCCAAAAAATGTTTTGTTCGCTGACATATCCCAGAGCCTAGAAGAGTGCGTGGAATATAATGAGTGCTTAATAAACATTTGTTCGATAAATAACTGAAATTCATCCATTTTCTCATTTAGGTGTGGGATTGTTTCTGTCATTTGCAACCAATGAGTTCTGACTCAGTGGAACCACAGCTTTTTCTTACTGTCTGGGAACACATTCTAGAAAACAACTCGTTTGGAGTTCACTATATAGAGAACCACAGCTCTTTCACTGAAAAAATAAAGAAAAAAAAAGGAAAAGAAAAAAAGAAGGAAGTTAAGTAGAACATGAAAAATTCCTACAGAGCTTATAGATTCTGTAACTTTTGACCCAAGGCTGGTCCTAACTCCCTTCTCCCTCGCTGTCTTCTACTCTTGCAGACCAGGTTGGTCATGTGAAACAGTTTTTGACTGATGAGATGTACAAATGGAAAGGTTTTTGCTTTCATGATAAATTACACCATTACAGTTTGTGTCAACTCTTTCTGCCTTCCCTTTTCCTGCTCTGAATTGAACATGATGCTTGAAACTGAAGCAGTCATTTTAGCTGCCATGAAGAAAAGACCATGGAATCACAGAGTTACTGATCCTGGCACTGCTGAACTTTTAAACCAATGTGAGTAGCTGCCTATCTCCACCCTTTCTATTAAGTGAGAAAAAAATAAATTGCTATTTTGTAAACTACAGACAATCCCCAACTTATAATGATTCGATTTAGGATTTTCCAACTTTACCATGGTGCAAAAGTGATAGGCATTCAGTACACTACTCGACTGACTTACAGTAGGGCTATGTCTGGATAAACCCACTGTAAACTGAAAATATTATAAATTTGTGATTGGAGAGGAGTAGAGAGATCCTGACCTACAGCATCGTATTTGAGAGATATTTTGGGAAGACGATCACCAGGAATGGCTCTTCAATTAAAAATGTACAGTGTTGAAAAAAAAATGGCGGTGGGTCTGGAGCGCCCGCGTCAGGAAACAGCGCGATCCTGAGAGCTGTGTGCTGTGATACCAGAGTATTGACTGCATTTCCAAGAGCAACAAAGGACGAATAAATCTTTCAACAACGATCCTACATCGACAAACAAGCGGCAGCGGGTTCGAGGTTTTGGGGCCGACACTGAAGAGGTCTCCTGAGAGCGCCCAAGCCCGGCCGCGGGAACGAACGAGCGATCAGCCCAGTCATCAAAGGCACGGAAAGCCAGCAAAGGTTTCCACAAAGGCAGAGAGAAGCTCGTCAGACTGCCACAGACCCGCGACCCCGTAAGTCACCCCCAGTCCAGCAAAGAGATGGTAGGTTCTCACAAATGAGACACAGCCATGATTCTGCTGCTTCCCTGAACAGTTGGGACAAAGAGTAGCTATAGAAGCTGCACTTTCTTCTATGAATCCTTGTACCAATCCCCCAATGATGGAGAAGATTTCCTTCTTGCATCTTTATTAGAAAAGTTAACAAGTGCATGTAGTAAAAACATGTAAAAGTAATTTTAAAGGATACGTAAAATGAAAAGTAAAAGTCTCCTTCACTTCTAGTACCTGATCCCTTTTTCCAGCTACCACTTATTGAGTGCCTATTCTTTCCAAGCTCTTTAAATGTATTATTTCCTGTGAGTCAGATATTATGAGCTTCATTTTACAGGTGAGGGAGCTGAGGATCAGAGGTCACACTTTTAGTAAATAGCAGATGCGAAATTTGAACCCACTCCTGACTTTTTTTCCCCCTTCTTCCTTTTTTTTTTATTGAAACATAATTGATTGTACATATCTATGGGGTACAGCTTTAAATGTGAATACCCGTGTGCAATATGTGATGCTCCCACATCTGACTTTGAGATTGAACCACATCACAGCCCTATCTGCAATGCCACCTGCCTCTTCTCTTACATTCAACCAGGGGCCAAATCCAAGAGGCTCTTTATTTAGAATCAATGTCCATTCTTTTACTTCTGTGCTCACTGCTAGTTCCTCATTATGGTTCACAATGACTATATGAATATCGGGTTCACCCCTCCACTCTCACCCTCCCCCCCACTTCCCATCCTTCACCTCACGGCTCTAATCACATTGCCCTCCTGCTCATCTACGCTCAGGACCTCCCCCTTCCTCTCCCTGCTGAGATGAGGCCACATGCGTAATAACTTCGTATAGCATACATTATACGAAGTTATACGAGTGGTGGTCAAAGTACCTAAAAGAACAGAACACTGGGACATTCTCAAGCCTTACATTAGTGTTAATTTAAAACACCATTGTGGTCAAATGTGATCTGAGACTTGATTTCACTTCTAGAATGTGGTGGTGGTTAGATTGTACAAGGAAGAGGCCACTCTCACCAATTCATCTTCTTCACTGGCTACCACAATCTAGCCAAAAGATCTATGAGCTGTGCATGACCAAGTTGGCTTAGAGACAGAAGCCTTCCAAGGACAGAGTCCTTGGCTTCTGTTCTTCTTTACTTGTATTTTACACATGGGCAATCTTACCCACTTCCTTTACTTAAATAACTATCCAGATAACCATTGGATGTCATATGACATGTTCAATCCTGAACTTACCATTTTCTCAATTCTTCCCTATTCCCCAAGTAGCTCTTTCTGTGTCTAAGTATTAGTGGTTCCCAAACTCTGGTCCACAGACTGACTGCAAGAGTATCATGTGAGGGAACTCATCTTTAAGATACAGAGTCTCAGCTTCCACTATGATCTTTTGAATAAGAATCTCTTAGGGCAGCACCCAGGAATCTGAATTTTAGCAAGCACCCCAGCTGATTCCCATATACCACCAGATTGGGAAGCACTGCCCTATCTGGCCAAATGGTACCACCATCCACCTGGTTGCCCAGGCCAAAAACTGGGCTGTCATCAAGTAGAACAGGCTTAAAAGGGGAAATACTCAAACAAAACTGGAGCAAACTCTACCCATCCAGTTTATGAGGCAAAAATCTGCCGTTAGCATGTCTTGGCCTGTGTTAGTTGGCCTCTTAACTCACTTGACCCCGATTTTATGGGTCTTAAACATTCTGCTTTTCTTTTTCTAGGGAGAGAACTATCCAGCGGTAACCCACAGTCTAATGTTTTCCTTTGAGAGTACTTTTACTGGTAACATTGGAATTCTTTACTTTTTCCATCATTGACCATTGGTGTTGGACAGTAGGGATGACATTTTTTTACTCTGGGTAACATTTCTGGCTGTTAAAGATTTAGAGAAATTTAATCAAGATTGGGTCTTCTAAGGGTAAATTGGCTAGTATATACTAAGGTCCCACAAGATCTCTGGGAACAAATGTCACTCCTAGCCAGTACCTATGCCAAACAGCTCAGAATTGAGGATGAAGACTTTTCTGACTCCTTAAGATTGATGTGTTTGATCTAAGGCTTCCTTGTGCTTGTCCTATCTAGTACTACAGGACATGCTATAATTGCTTTTATATAACACTACCTTCCCCAGCTAGACTGTAGGCATCCTGAAGACAGTCATACCACTCAGATTCCTGGGCATGACGCATGGTGCCATGGGGCTGGCAGAAGCCTTCGAGAATCCAGCCCAAACTTAAGTGAGGCTGGGAACCATTTCTCAGGGATGTTGCAGGAAGGCTCAATTCAATAGCTTCTGAGACTGTATGTCAGAAAGGACAAGAAAGAAAAGGAGCCCCAAAGACAGTTTCTCTGAGTGCATTTCTGTTGTGGGGAGCCGTGGTTCCCAATTTTTATTATAAGTGCTACCATTAATAAATATCTTGGTACAGTAAAATATATATATCTTAGCCACACCATTCTGACCTGAGATAACTTAAAGAAACTACACAAGCTCCATTAATATAAAATCCATATGCTGCTGATAGATAGACTATACATTCCAATTTCAGACTTCTAATAATTATAATAGGATTGTTCATTAAGATAGTACAGTAAAAAATCAGTATGCTCCTGCCATATCTGCTTTCTTAAATTTTTTGAGCAAACTGAATGAATCCTCCTTTGAATACACCTTGTAAACCTCCTTAATGCTACAGGAATAGAGCTGACTGGAAACAAACACCATTGTCCTTTCACCCCCATGCACAACACTGACAGCATTTCAAGGACTTTGGGAAGGTAGGTGAGCATTTCTTCATAATGAAGTGTCACATAAGTATTTGGATGGAAGTGCAAACACTGGCTGCGCAGTTGGGTCTGTGGCTCTGGATGTAGGTGAGAGGCATTGCATCAGGAGCTCAGAAAGAACCACAGCATGGGGGCAATACCTGTGTGTGTTTGTTCTGAGACAGGCTGAAAGCCTATGTGGCTGGCTGAAATGGCCTTGAGGGGAGAGGATATCTCTTTCGCCCAGGTCATATTTAAACCCTTCTATGTAGGTACAAATTTAATCTCTTTTTAAGGATTATCAGAAAAGAAGATATACTATCTCTTTTAGTAACTTATTCTTTTATCTTAAGTCAATGTAAAAGAAGTCAATTTTGTGCCAAGTCTTCAAGTATTGTTTGTTTATTCTATTATATTTGCCCTTTGTTGGACTCTATAAGTCTTTTTGCAGTGATGAAAACAACTCTTTCTCTGTTGATCCAGAAGAGAATGAATTCTAAAAAAAAAATCTTGAATCAAAAGTTCATTTACAGGTTGGTTGTTTGGATCTCATCTTGCCCAAAATAACAGAGTTAATGTTAGATTGAAGGATGTAAGCCTGGGCCCCCTGATTTCCTGTTTAGTTCCTGTCCCTGACTTCATGTTGCAGTTACTTCAAGGAAATTATCTGTGGTGGCACACTTCAGGATGAACAGGGCTGGGCCTGGCTGGGGGCAGACTCCAATTCCCCTGTCCTGTACCACTGCTCTAGAAGGCAGTCCAACTGGACGGGGTAGGGGACAGCGGCCTGTCCCCTCCTTCCGCACTGAGGGCCTCCCACCCCTGCCTGTTCCCACATGCCTGGAGGGGAAGGCTCCAGGAAAACACAGCTGGGACGGCTGTATTGGTGTGGTACAAGGTACCAACAGAGAGACGTTGGCCTATTATCCCCCAGAGAGACAGGTGCAGGAACTGAGGGGAAAAGACAATGAGTGCGATCTGTCCCTGGCCCCCAGGTGATGTGTGATGATCAAAAAGTGATCTGAATGTTGGTCTCCACAGTGGATTTGTAAACATGCATCAGAATTTAAGTGGTCTTGGGGAAACAATGACTTGGTTAGGGTGAAATCAGGCTTGTTAATCACCTGGAGTCGTTATGTCCGTTATCACATTCCATTTACTACTGAGTAGCCCAGGACAAGCTAATATCTGAGTCTGGATGCCTCATCTATAAGTTGGAGTTAATAATATTCAGCTTTGAACAGTTACGTGGAGTGAATTACATAACATATAAAGTGGCCAGTAGAGGGTCTGGTACAGTGGATGTATTCAATAATTGGTGGCTGTTACTATTATTAAAAATATAATTATTTATTTATTTTAAATTTCATTTTATTTTTTGGAAGCTGGCTGGTATAGGGATTGAACCCTGGACCCTGGCGTTACCAGCACCATGCTCTCACCAACTGAGCTAACCAGACAGCCCAATAACATAATTATCAAAATGCAAATATCGGGCTGGCTGGTTTCTCAGTTACTTATAGTGCAGTGTTATAACACCAAGCTCAAGGGTTCAGATCCCTGTACCAGCCTGCTGCAAAAAAAAAAAAAAAAAAAAAAAAAAATATCATAATGACAAATTATTCTCGTATATGTTTTATGTTACCATGCAACACATTTTTGACAACAGAGGTATATTTTGATCTCCCAATTCCCACTGCAGAGCCTGACACAAGCTCTGCACATGGTAGGTATCAGTAAGAACTTAGGTTGAAAGGAAACGAATGAACCACTCTTACCAGATCATTTTGTTCTTTCAGGGGTATTTCGGATCCAGGTTCTGTCTCGAGGCTGACAGAATCATTGCATTCGGCAAGTGTATCCTCAGTCACTTCTCCGTTAGGGGCGGGCTCCATGGCACTGGAGTCTTTGGGTTGCTCAAGGTGCCCAGCGGCAGCAGTCTTTGCACCCTGGACAGGTACATTTTCATGCGCATTTCGTCTGGGGTCAGCTGGCGTTGGCTCTTCTGAAATTGTAGCTGAATCAGAGTGTACTTCTGCATCTTCTGGTAAAGAATCATTGTTGGGCATCTCAGTAATTTCTGCTTTGTCCCCAGGGGCTAGGATGTTACCAGCATCATCAGACATTTTAATATCTGTCAACATGATTACAAACAAGCACTTTATGGTTTAATCTGAATCGTTAAAATTTAATTCAAAGTCCTGAATAATTAAATTAAACTGGGTAGGGGTAAACTTTCTTCTACTAATAAGACACTTTATGTAACTTTGTGACAGGGTGAATAATGGCACCCAATGATATCCACATCCCAATCCCTGGAACCTGTGAATGTCACCTTACATGGCAAAAGGGGCTTTGCAGATGTGATTAAATTAAGGATATATCCCCCCCTTTATTTCTTTATTTTTATAGCAATTTAGCTTTACAGAGAAATTGAGCAGAAGGTAATTCTTATATCTTCCCCACACACATACACATCATTTCTCCTATTACTGACTTCCACTAGTGTGCTACATTCGTAACAATTATGGATCAATATTGACATATTATTATTAATTTAATTTTACATAGAGTTCCCTCTTTGTATTGTACAGTTCTGTGGGTTTCACCAAATGCATAAGGTCATGTATTCACCATGACTGTATCATGCAGAATAGTTTCATTGCTCTAAACACCCTCTATGCTCCATCTGCTCATCCCTGAAACCCTGGCAACCAGTCATTTTTAAATTAAGGATCTTGAGGTGAGGAGATTATCTTGGCTTATCTGCGTGGGCCCTAAATGTAATCACAAGTGTTCTTAAGAGAGAGCAGCAGGAGATGTGACTAGACAGGGGAAAATGTGTAACGGAAGCAGAGACTGGAGTGATGCACCTTGAACATAAAGGAAGGGGCCACGAGCCGAGGAAGATGGGTGGCCACTAGAAGCTGAAAAAGACAAGGAAACCATTCTCCCCTCGGACACTCTAGATGAGAACCAGCCCTGCCAGTACCTTGACATTAGCCCAGTGAAACTGATTTCAGACTTCTCACCTTCAGCACTGCAAGAAAATAAATCTGTATTGGTATAAGCCACTAAGCTTGTTGTAATTTGTTATAGCAGCAATGGGTAGCTAATACAAACCTACAATACTATCCTTACACGTTCATGGATCTCTTACCTAGCATGAAGGGATATGCATATGGGAACTAAAAGTATTCTCGAATATCTACTTCCATTCCACGATGGCAGAAAGTAGAAGAGTGGTTTCAGGAGCTGAAGGGAGGGGATGAGGAGCGACTGCTAATGGATGGGGGTTTCTTTTGGGGGCGATAAAAATATTCTAAAATTATATGGCAGTAATGGCTGTACAATCCTGTAAATACACCAAAAACCACCGAACTGTATACTTTAAAAGAGTAAATTTTGTAGTAAGTGAATTTTGTGGTATATGGATTATACCTCAATAATGGTGTTATTAAAAAAAAAATTACCTCTGGACAAGTAGTTTTAATGTCCAGAGCTGGGCATCTCTTCCTGTCTCAAAGGCAACCTGTTGTCTTAATACAAGATTTTCTTCTTAAATTTTGTGTTTCTTTTAATGTCAACTAGATTTCCCCAATAACTCAATGTTAAAACCTCAGAGCTGTCGTTGACTAAACCTTCACCCTCTCAAGAACAGATAATATCAGCAGCTACCACTTATTGAGTGCCTATTCTTTCCAAGCTCTTTAAATGTATTATTTCCTGTGAGTCAGATATTATGAGCTTCATTTTACAGGTGAGGGAGCTGAGGATCAGAGGTCACACTTTTAGTAAATAGCAGATGCGAAATTTGAACCCACTCCTGACTTTTTTTCCCCCTTCTTCCTTTTTTTTTTATTGAAACATAATTGATTGTACATATCTATGGGGTACAGCTTTAAATGTGAATACCCGTGTGCAATATGTGATGCTCCCACATCTGACTTTGAGATTGAACCACATCACAGCCCTATCTGCAATGCCACCTGCCTCTTCTCTTACATTCAACCAGGGGCCAAATCCAAGAGGCTCTTTATTTAGAATCAATGTCCATTCTTTTACTTCTGTGCTCACTGCTAGTTCCTCATTATGGTTCACAATGACTATATGAATATCGGGTTCACCCCTCCACTCTCACCCTCCCCCCCACTTCCCATCCTTCACCTCACGGCTCTAATCACATTGCCCTCCTGCTCATCTACGCTCAGGACCTCCCCCTTCCTCTCCCTGCTGAGATGAGGCCACATGCTTCAGCTGGCATCCAGGGACCTCTGTGCTCTGATCCCACTAGGCTTCCCTCCCCTCCCCCCTCCCCCAATCCTAAATGGGACAATGTAAGTATCTGTACAATGCCTGACACACTCACAATAAACCCTCAGATGGCTGTTGGATCAATTTGTTGCTTTTTTTTTTTAACACATTTAAGTCCCAGTTAAAGTAACCACCTCTTCCATTCTTTCTTCCTCCCAATTGGATATCATTTTTCATCTTTTGAACCTCCAGAGTGTCTTGCATGTATCTCATCTTGCAGTTACAATCCTTTGATTAGAGTTGCTCGAGTTTTTTCCTATTATATTGTAAATTCTATGAAGATAAGGATCTTCCTTGTTTTGTTTTCATATTTTACATAGCACTTAACATTGTTTCTTGTACACAGTGGGAAGCTCAATAAATATGCCTGTTGAGTTATATTAATATTTGTGTAGAGATACTCGCTAGTTCTCTTACAACAGGTGGTTCCAAATGACTCTACATTGCCATAGTTTTTTTATTGTTGTTCTCACACCTCCCAGTTAACTGATTTAGAATGTCTCTTTTTAAACAAAAATACCTCCCAGACCTTGAATTCAGTAACAACACTCCCATAAACAAGTCTACGAGTGAGAAAGGAATGCACACTTCCCTCCGGCTGGTATATTAAGTTTAGGATATTCAAGGTTGATCCTGGGCTATCAAGGAGTCTGGTCAAAACCTAGTTGAAACAATAAAGAATGATACAAGGCCACTGTATAGAAAAGGAGTAGTTACTGTGGTTTATGGGAAGACAGTGGAATTGTCAGGGGGAACTTAAATTTGAAAGCTTATAAAATCTTTGTGAAAACCTCTCTCTGAGTCAGAGCTGGACTAGCCTAGGAGGCTGGCAAACTACAACCTGCTGGCCAAATCTTGCCCTCTGCCCGTTTTGGTAAATAAAATTTTATGGAGCAGGGACACACCCTTTTGCTCACATACTGTGGTAGCTCTTCTAGCACCGCAACCACAGAGTTGAGAGCTGAGTAGCAACACAGAACCTATGGCCTGCAAAGTCACAAAGCCTAAAATATTTACCATCTGGCTTGTTACAGAAAATGTTTGCTGACCCATGGCCTAGAATATTGCTTGATTGCCATAGCTTAAAGATTTCTCTGTCTTAATTTATCCTATCTTTGCCTGGGCCCAAGAGGCATGACCATAAGGGGAATGGGTCCATGAATTAATGATACTTCAACATCCCTTTTATTCCCATTTTCTTCATTAGTAGCTGGTCATAGACATTGTCTGATTTTTTATTTCTTTATAAGGTAATCTGAAAATCCTTATTATTAATCTAGATTATTAAGAAGCTCTAAACGATTCCACTTTCCTATAAGCAGGAACACAAGAATAAAGCTGGCTATGATAAACATTCAGAGGCACTTTGATGTATATGCTTTGTCTTAAACATGTTGTTATACTGTTCATAATGGGGCTGGTTGGTTAACTCAGTTGGTTAGAGCGCAGTGTTGGTAACACCAAGGTCAATGGTTCCGATCCCTATATCGGCCAGCCACCACCAAAACAAAACAAAACAAAACAAAACAAGAGACTAATTAATACTGTTCATAACGTATTCTAAAATCCTTCAGCATATACCACATGACATATGTGCATGTTAATTACTTTTAATTTACACCCTAGAGGTGGTTGGTTAACATCTGAAATTCCCTATTCAGGAATTACTCTCCAGGGTCTTTATGAGCATTTCAAAACCTGTAATTGAGTGTCTACCTCTTGAGAGGGTTTATCTACTGTCCTCTCCTATTGGCACTCAGGGGTGTGCTAATTAGCGTAAGGGATATTAGAAATCATTTTTCACTGATGAAAGGGAAGGTGCTTAAAATATGTGGATCAGCAAGAAATAATGTACTCGTGCCTTCTGCCCTTCTCTGACTTTCTCTGACCAGGGCCAGTGTAAGATTATATTAAGCCCAGCAGCCTATTGCTCTTTGGAGTAGGGTTTTTCTAGTGCTTCCAGCTGACTGCAGAACTCCAAAGCCTGATGCTGACTGGGAGGTTAACTGAGTCCTGCATCTTGAATAGAGGCCTGAAAGGGCAACAAGCAAGGAGTTCATCAAGCTGTGAGAACAGGCTGTGTAATTAAGCCTGGTTGCTTGTCTACGTGTGAGTATGTGGCAGAATTCCATCAGAGAACTTGGATTCATGATAACATAGCTCTTGGTAGGGAATTTACAGGGGAGGAAACCTATAGCCCTCACCTACCTCTAATGGACAAATTGCCTTAGGTCAGTTTATCTCAAGTGTAGAAAAATTGCTGCAATAAAACTTATCTTCTCTGTATTCAACCAGCAACATGAAGAATGCCTCAGAAAGACCCAGAAAATCAGCTGGAAGGTGTTGAACTGATTTTGTTAGAAAATATTTACGGATAACTTATAAATATCAGAAAGACTGGATTTTAACATCTATTTAAATAATAAATATGGTCACCATAAGACCAGCCCTGTTTCATCTTCTAATTGTACCTCTAATCTGTACTTACTTTACTTGTTACAGGTCTAATTTTCCCTAAACCAAACCAAAACAAATCTTTTTTTGAATGTTTGTTCTGGTACACCATTATCAACTCTGGATGCCATTATGATGGGGGAAATGTAATCAATTTTAAGGCTTGTGCCCTTTGGTCTAAACACTAGAAACTGTGTGTTCTAAATACACAGCTGTTTCTGATCAGGGACTGTTGGGGTCCACCAGGACTGCAGCCATGATTTGCAGTTTCCTGGGACAATCCCCATCGTTGCCTGGGTGCCCCATCAGCACAGTCAGACGTAGAAGCGTTTCCTGATTTATGGTTTGGAACGCTGATCACTGCAGTCCT